TGGGAAACAGGACGTTGCCACATCTTTGTCAACACGAATGGTACAGGACAATGAGTGTGTGCGTGAAGCGATCTCATTGGTCAATGCTGTATCATTACATCAAAAAGTTTAACCGTTTGTACACGAATTAACTTTTGGAAGTGACTGTCACTCGACTACCTCCTTAAGGCTCCTAACTACTCAGCCAAGAACTCTGCGTTGACGGTGACGACACAGAATCAGACGGCGGTCTGGCGAAATCGGTAGTCACACACTTAAGGGGATGCTGGAGTGACGGGGTCGAAGTTAATCAAGGTCGATAGTAGATATTTTAAATTCCAAATTCGACAATAGTGATATCTTTCATTCATTTCTTATACTTATTATATATCGTGTCTCGTTCAAACGCATTCATCTGTCCTTATCTAACATACTGCAACGCCATCTCTTAGAAAGAGATCAACTAAAATACTGCTCGGTTTCATGGCTTCACGTCAATTTCACTCGTAATATACAAACGAAATTTTCGGTGACTCTTTTCTCTTATATCAAAGCCCCTACCTCGTTTCTAAAAGCATAGGATTGTTCTTCAAAGTTTTCTGTAGGCTGCTGGCTACTTATTTTAAACGAGTAAAATCCGAAACTCTTATATGCAGCACATATTGTGACGAATTGACTGCAGGAGTCGGTGATAAAACTACAATTTTTAATTTTCTTTCATTTTTCGCATTAAATTGTAGCTGGCAGCCTGTGTTGTTGTCGATACTTTAATTGTGGAGAAGGACTTTTCAATCCATAAACGCAATTAAGAGAAAAGAGTCTTTAAAAATTAATGGTAAAACAGTCCTACTCACACAATTTTCGGGGAAGCGAATAAGTCGTCGAATCTTTCGATGGCTTTGTACTCTTGTGAACAGGCCGATCAAGAAAAAACCAAAGAAAAAATCCCAAAGAAGGCAGACGAAAAATCGATTACTATTAGTTTAGAGAATGCTTTTAAAACGCCACTTGTGCCACCAAGATTGAAAAACGAGGAAGCGAGAAGGACCGCCGAAAAGGCCAGACAGGATGCTTGAGAACGAGCTAGAATGAAAAGCGATGAAGACTTAAGTTTAAGTCCTGAAGAGAAAATTAAAGAATTAAGAATGAAGGTGACGCGGAGGCAACTCTCTATGGACGATACGAAAAAGGGCGATACGCCGAAGACTGAGAGAATTAAATCGTATAACTTTAGCGCAATACATAATTCAGAGCTGAAATTACAAATCAGCAAAAGTACCGATAATATGAAAAACGTCGCAAAAAAAATTAATTTCCAAAAACTGCCAGCGACTAGCGCGAAATCGATGGACGAGATGCTAAATACTGCAGGTTTATCACTTGCGGATAATAATAGCATGGTAATCAAATGGGACAAAAAACCGAAGGACTCGGAGACAAGAAAAAGTATTATACAGGCAGTGTCAGATTTCTTCTTCAAAAAGGAAACAAATCCATCGCTCAATCAGAAGGACAAGTTATCGGTATTCCGACTGACTTCAAGAGGGTCAAAAGGAAAAGTAAGTATTATCACTATTATTATTATCATTAATATTATTATTAACATGTGAAATGTTCTGAGAAAGAAAACTATAATATATTGTTTCTGTATGTAAAACGCAGATTGATAAAACTATTCCATCGAAATGCGACATGAGACCTAAAATTTATGCGAAGATATGCTCGTAGGAAATTTCTACGATATCAAGTATCGATAACAACACAGGCTGCCAGCTACAATTTAATACGAAAAATGAAAGAAAATTAAAAATTGTAGTTTTGTCACCGGCTCCTGCAGTCAACTCGTCACAATATGTGCTGCATATAAGAGTTTCAGATTTTACCCGTTTGAAATAAGTAGCCAGCAGCCTACAGAAAACCTCGAAGAACAATCCTATGCTTTTAGAAATGAGGTAAGGGTTTTGGTATAAGAGAAAAGAGTCGCCAAAAATTTCGTTCGTATACTACGAATAAAATTGACGTGAAGCCATGAAACCGAGCAGTATTTTAGTTGATCTCTTTCTAAGAGATGGCGTTGCAATATGTTAGATAAGGACAGATGAATGCGTTTGAGCGAGACACAACGATAAAAATAATAAGTATAAGAAATGAATAAAAGATGTCACTACTGTCGAATTTGGAATTTAAAGTCTGTACTATCGACCTTGATTAACTTCGACCGTCACTCCAGCATCTTAAGGGGATCTCCAATCTCCCTCTCATTCTCTCTCCCATTACACTATTGAATGGAAAGAGATAGAAATGGCCGTCTGCCACGATCCCTCTTTCTCATCCCTATTGACCATTTTGACACACGGATCGCGCAGTTCCATTCTCTATATGCTTTGTCACCTGCGAGCGGACATGATATCGTGCTTGCATGTAGAGACCCTTTACTAGAGACTGATCATTTCGGGACTTTTGCTGATTGGTGCACGTGACTTCAGCACACTAATGGCGG